GCATAAACTTTTCTGAAAGCTGTTCATTATGTGCATGTCACATTCAACTTTGTCCAGTGGTTGTAACTCTTTCACTTCCCTTTTTTTGGTGGTGGTGGTAATTTGAATTGGTAATACGAGAGAAGGAGCTCTCTGATGCTTATCCTCATTTCAATCAGTGTTTAAATGAATTCAATTTGGCAACAGCTTTAGGGAGAATTAAGCACTTTGGTCTTAAGTATATTGTTAAGGATAAAAGCATTTGCAACGTGTTAAACATTGCTCTTAGTAAAGGTGTCTTTCTTTCTCCAATCCCCCCCCCCCCCCCCCCAATCCCTCTCTCTCTCTCTCCCTCTCTCTCTATTTCTTTCTCTCATTAATATTTGTTGCTTTTCAGTCAACTTCTTTGGATTTCATAATTTAGTAATAATATTCTAAAGCATTCTTTTTAGGGATATAGGTATGAAAGCACCGTAATAATAATAAGAGGTGCCCCTGTAATAAGTTGCGATATTATGAACATGAATGCAAACATATTTCTATAATAATGAAATGATTCAAAATTCTTATTCTATTAGCTATGGCATTATTCAATTGCTAAGATATTCTGATGAAAAATAAGGGTGTGATCACAAATGAAAACTGACAGATTTTCATCTTCTTTTCAAATGTTGCTTAAAAAGTTAAAAACAATCATTTTTGAAATAACACCTTGTGGAATGTGGATGGAAATATTGCCTGTGATCTGGACAGCTGGTCTGCCCTATATAACCAACTAAGAAAGGGGTGATAACGAGAAATACTGGGGAAAAACTAATAAACAAACACTCGCAAACAGATAAATCAACAAGCCTTTCACAGTAAAGATGAAACATTTTCTTGCATGATTGTCCCAGAAATCAATTAATATTGATTGTTAAAAGGCCGTGGTTAACCCGAGGTTGTTTCTCCATCAATAGATCTGCCCCATGAATAAAAGGAAGAGAAACCAGACCGAGAAAAAAGATGTAACAGTGGTCAAAATGACAGGCCTTCTTTTTAAAGCTCCCTTAAATCCATCTATTCATTGTGAAACTTGTTCTCATTTTTCTTCTCCGTTCCTTTCATGCACCCTCCAATCCTCTTTCAAAGAATTTACCCTTTTTTATAATGCGGAGAATGAAGGATGACAAAAAAAAAGAAGACAAGTCGGGTTACGACTCATCTTCTTTGCATGATCAATTCCCAAGCCGCTCAGTGTCCAGTAAATCCGGACACTCAACCCTAAGACTCCGGCCGGGGACATTCTCTAGTCCTATTGTTTGACCGCTACTTTAGCCTTTCACCACCCTTCCTAGGTGGGTAGAGCGATGTAATTGAAACCATGCTGTGTAACAGATGTATCAGAATCCAAAATCTATTTTCTTCCTCTTCCTATTTTTTTCCTTCTACATTTGTAATACTTTGGGGGCGATGGAGGGGTACAGGGCCTTACCCCTAGGGGTTGAATAGGGGGATAAAGAGGGGGCTTTTGTGCCACAAAGTGGATAGGATTCCTGGCTTATCCATTCATAAGGGATTTCATTGGGGTAAAATCTTCAGAATCGTCTGCTGTTGTCTCTTAGGTACATGTATGGTGTGTAGTTGTTGGATTTCAGACCAATGATATGCTGCAATCGACGTTTGCTCTTGGTTTATTGTTTTGTCAAATATATAGGGTTAGGGTTATTATTTGGTATATTTATATAGAACTTAGCAATTAATTTTTCATATAAGTTCACTTTTTAATAGAATTGTAGGTATACTTAATCCAGGCCAACATACCATAGCCATTGTGGAAAACAGTTTTGTACCTGATAACCCTGTACAGATAAAACTCAAATAACTAAATAAATAAATGATAGTGTTGATGTTACTATGTTGTGTTAGCATTAGGGTTAGGGTGTTGTAAATGTTCTATTCTAGTGTTATACTTTGGAGGTGCACTTGTGTAAGAAAATGACTGCTGTTGGGAATGTTTTCCCTCACAAAGTGTTGGGGCGAGGGAAAATACTTGCAAAGACGCAATTTCTTTTAATATATATTTGGTGTTTTTTGTTTAAAATATTCCAGATGATTGCTGGTGATTAGGAATACACTATTCTACCTAGATATTCTATTCTATGATAGGCCTGCATCCCCTAATGCATGCCTAAGGCTCTCTTGACATAGCATCAGGTAATATATGATAGCTGATATTGTGAAGGGGAGAGGTATATATTGTACACTCAGCAAATATATAGGCCTATTTTTTTTCTAGATATGCATTCTTTTAAGAAACATTCATAACTCATATACATACCTACACCAGTCTGTCTTCATCAAAAACAAAGCTTGTTTTTTATTAAGGTCTGGTACGCAAAGGCTAGTTTCCATGGCGGGGACACCTACAAAAATAAGTTTGTCCAATGCCTATTATTATCCTACACTCATTCATCTTCTCCCTGCCTAGACTACTAGAGCTTCATCCCGTAAGCATTGTACAGTAGTTTGTATACCCAGCCATGCCTCAGTACCCTGGCTTAGCCCTACGCAGCACTACAAGTGAAAAAGTAATCAAAAGTTGACGGTTCTACTTGTTTTTCCCCCCTTGCAAGGTTTTTCTTCAGCCGGATTGCGAAGTCTCGCTCCAAATAACAGTTTATTAAGTCCGTCTTTTCTTTTTCAGCTCCAAAAAAATATAGTATCTTCTTCTTTCTCCTTCAGTCATCTTTGGTACGCTTTGAGAGAAAGAGAAGGAGAAACGTAATAGGATTCGGGCGCAGAGATAGTGATGCGTGAAGGATTTTGGGGGTGTCTTGGGAACGTCTGTCGCCATGGAAGAAAAAAAGAGGAGGGATTAAGCGACAGTGATCGGCTCCCACTTATTTCCAGTTACCTGAATTTAATTACGATTTGAACGATCAATTGCATCGTCAGTTATATAACTGTTTTCAATTGAGAGTTAAATGGGAAAATAAATTAAAAACTCAAACGTAGAACATGTAACAACATGTAACAACAGTTATAACTGAATTGACTGATCTGGTTGGAGTATGACGAGCATGATAATCAATCACACATACAATCACAGGCGACAAAAAGGAATGACATATATATAATGATCACGAAAGATATCAGAATTGTTCAAACAAAATCCACTGGTTATTCTGTAAATTGTGTACAGTATGTTGATTAAAAACACTCCATAGAGACATTTAACATCATTTTTATGATAACAAATAAACAGCATTGTATGTAGTAACACATTTTGCCTTAGTATTGAAGATTGTGTAATTCATTACTGTCAGTTTCTGCAGATAAGGATGAAATATAAATTGCATTGCAATGATGAATCACATGAAATGATTATAGGAAATTGAATTAATTAAAATGTAGGTTTATAATGAGGAAGACAGGGAAAGGAAGTGGATGGTAATACTCAAATGTAGATCATAGCTGGAGAAACGATCAACAGATGGAGCACCCAGAAATGATGAAGATGGCATCTTTGGATTTTGATTTAGAGATGTTTAATAATAATGTTATTAGCTACATTTGTATTGCGCACATATCCATCCCAGGAGATGGATACTCATCGTTTCTATTCAAGGATATGTATAGAAATGGAGAGAAGAAAACAGAAAGTTGTTAAAAGACATAAGGTAATATATTACCATATATGTTGTGGATGTAATTTCTTTCTAGTAAGTTAGAAGACAGGTAGAGAGGGAGAGAAATAGAGAGAGAAGGAGAGAAGGGGCTGTGCAGGGCATTATAAGGGGAGGAAGAGAGAAGAGAGTAGAAATTAAAAGTACCTTGTCTCTTTGAAGTAGTTGAAAGGATCCAACACGTCTGCTCAATAAGTGAATGGCATTGGGGAACAAAAGAGAAACTAAGCCTGGAGAAAAAAGGGGGGCACAGCCATAAAGCTGTTTTTCTCCCTATGACACCCCTATTGTCGTGCCCCCCATTGTCAATGCACCCCCAAACCCTTGAACAATACCATGTGCCCGCATTACCTCCCCTCTTCCCTCGTTCTTTTGATAAATCCTCTCACCCGCTCGCTCGCCACTGTTCGGTAGCCGCTACCACTCCGCTTAGCTTGTTTTAGTTGATTGTTGGAGCCTGCATGGAAGCGCTGGGAGCCAGAGTGGCCCTAGATCCTCCATTCTTTACCCGCTACTCTTGGGGTGTTGTTTGTCCCACGTTTGGCATGTAAACAACAAGAAGACCAATACAGTGTCTTATCCCTGTCCCGGAGCTATACTACCAACCCATCACTTGTCTTGGAGACCCCTAAAATCAATCCATCTTTCTGATGCGCCCTGGCCATCAGTTCTTCCATTTTGTATACCGGACAGTCTTGGAGTCATTCATGTGCTTGAATAGGACTACTGTGGATTGCGAGTGCTTGATAATTGTTGGATGAATCTCTTCCATCCATCTGTAGTATTGACATTTTTTTGGAGTACCATCAGGACTGTGTTTGGACTAAAACGAGAATTCAGAACCATTGGATGCTATTAACTTTGGAAATATCTTCCCCCTTTCTGTTGAGCCAAATTCATCTGTCTTGTGTGAGTTTTGTCTCTGTTAGCTGGAATAATACATGCCTCTTGCTAAATATATACTATTCCCATCAGCAGTATTGGTGTTTGCAACTTTGCACCACTTTGTCTTCAGTTTGGACTCTATGTACAGTTAACAACTGATTTATTCTTACTCCTTGTAAAGTTAATGTTTTTCTTTGTGTGTTTTTCGTAACTCGAAAATGAAACTTGAAAGGTGGACTGGTTGAATTTAAGCCTTTGTTGAATACTTCTAGATGTAAGCTGAATATGTGACATTCTCAAGAAACATAATCCGGGACAAATCATTTTGTCACATACTTTAGAAATACAAAATTTGGTAAGAGAGGGTATGAATAATTCAGCTAACTGTTTGTCCTGTGCAAAATAGTTACCACCGTATAAGATTTGTTTAATATATTTTTTTGTTTTTTTGTGTATCCTCTGTTTCAGGTTAAAGGATTTCTAACTTCTCTGAGATTTGAACACTGAGGTCTTCTTGCAATTAATTTTTTTGGATAAAGGAGCTAACTATTTAGGGTAAGTGTGAACTTGGGTTATCATTTAGTCAGAGTTTTTGGTCATGTTATCAAATTGTTTCCTTTAAATGATAATAAATTTCTAAAGCAAAGACAGTTTTAGAAGATAAACAATTGTTTTAATTCTTTGTGCAAGATTCTTGATTGCTGATTGTAAATCCACGACTATAAATGTATGAAGTTGTATTAATTTGGAACCCTCTTTCTCTGGCTCTGTTGTATTTGCTTCTTGATTGAGAAAATATGTTTTGTAATGAAATTAAAAACTTTTTCTCACTTATTTGTAGTACATATAGGCTGTGAAGTTGTCTGAATACATGTTTTGGTTTAGATTAAGCTTATAGTGCAAGTTGATGTTGTTGTTGAAGTGTACCATTTGGTTTGTGTATTGGTGGGTTTCTAAAATCTATTGGCTAGAAAAATCCTTTAACTTCTTCTATGCTCCCCCCTCCATAAGATAATATATGTGTATGTTTTGGGGATAGTAAGAGAAATTCCTTTTCTCAACTTTATTTTAGAACTTCTGCTTTAAAATAATTTTCCATGGCTAGGAATATTGCTCATAGTGCATTCCATGAAGCATACTGGACTAACTCTCTACTTTATGCTCATGGAAGAAAATGTTTGTGTTTTGGAGGGGGTTGGTGTTTGGGGGGGGGGGGAGGGATAGTGGCAGAAAAGGAAATGTATTTCTTTTTTTAGTTAAGTATAGAATTTGTCATCCTGTCAGATGTTTATGCCTGGGACTATATGCTCCATACAGTCCTGCCCATGAACTACCCCAGAGTTTAACCTGCGCAAACAGAAAGCTCAGCTTCTCTATGGTGTTTACCAAGCAGCTTTAAGCATTGACAGCCTCTTTACTCGCTCGTTTCCGCTCCAGTATTACCGGGGTAGAGCGATCGATCGAGAGACAGAAAAGAAAAGGCAAGATGATTAAATGTGTAATAAGACTGGTTTGTGTTTGAGTGAGAAGTTTACAATGTCTGGTGGTGGCCGGACATACCTGTGCTACCAATACCATGATTTTGTCTTGTAAAGAGAAGGTTGAGTTCTGATGCAGGTGAAAAATGTATTTGAGCTCATTCATATACTTTTTACATGTGTATGATAGAATATTATAGATGTAATATCCCCTAATAAGTATTGCTATTAAAATTCCCTTGTAGGCCTACCTAAACTATGATGAGAAAAATCTGAAATGTTTGGACCAAACAGTCATGGCACAAGTGTCTGTAGTCCTAAATACTTGTTTTTGTGTGCAGCACATATGATTTTCAGTAAGACTGGGTCAGTTTTCTAACATTTTGATTATTCCATATGTCATACACAAATTGTTTTATACTTCTCAAACAACCTTTCACATTTGCTTCTTTCAAACAATGTAAAACATGATAAGAAGTCATCTGTATTTACACTCTTCTGTGCCACTACTACCAGGGTTGTGAATTTTTGTTGTTCTGACATTTGCTCCATCATCAAAGTGCTCTGGGCTCTATCAATTGTACCCAAGGCATGTAGGGTTAGGTTTAGGGTCACAAGTTGGGTTTTCTTCTAATTTAATTTAATTTAATTCTACGGGTTATAGTCTTCTCTTAATCAGAACACTGTGCGCTTAGAAACATCAGTATTAAGTGCCTAATAAATGTTATGTATTATTATTATTATTATTGAACAACAAGGTACAGAGAGGAATTCTGGGTCGTAGAAGGCTCATAAAACCAAAGAAATATAGTTCAAAACAGCCAAATTTATTTCTGGTTTGCATTCTTGCGCCAACCTGAAGCAGCCATAGTTTCTCCCACCGGGGCCGTTAGACTTCCTCCACTATGGAAATCTATATTTTATTACTTCTCATTATTCTTCTATGTTTTAGCCAAAGAATGTGGCGCTGGAAAAGAAAAAAAACACATGAGCCCCACGGGCAGGCGAAAGAGTCAATGCAATCCCTCGTGAATGAGCATGAAATTGAATTTAATATTAGGAATGGGTTAACCTCTCGCGAGTAGGGTAAGCAAACAAAGTCAAGTTCCTCCGTCGAGCGGCTCTCCTGCCAATTGTTTGAAGGCCATCCATCTTAATTTATGCGTGATGTCATCGCGACCTAGTGAAATATGACCCAGGGGTCGCCTGTGACTTGACCTCTCGGGTTGATCTGGTTCTTAAGTATGGAATGTGTATTAAAGGTGGTGGTGTTCGCCAACGAGAGGTACAAGTTTGTTGCTTTGTTGAGCACCGAGTAATTCAGCTTTAATTTTAGCATCAGTGCCAAGATAAGGAACAAGGGCTATGTATCATGCCACGCCAGCTGATAGTTGTTTTGGTTTGGATGTGAATTTATTCCATTTAGAGCTCAGCATCAAAAGGAAACCCCCAAAATATTAAAATATCATCTGTTTAGAATCAGAAGGGCATCAAGTGTGTGTTCAACGATGTAAATTTAGGCAGGGATCGACACAAATAGCCTCCCCCCCCCTTCCCAGGACACATGGGCACCCAAAATCTAAATCTGCACCCCCCCCCCCCCAAATATTAAAGTTGTAATATAGGGTTCATGCATACAGACTAGCTCTGACAATTTTAATTCAGACCCTTCTAAAAACATGAGTGTTGGGCCTAGGTTAAGACCCTTCTGGATTTAAGCTGGTGGCAGAATTCCTAGATATTATAAGTTGTTACAAGAGATGTCGTGGAGCTGATCAAGGCCAGAAATTTCTTCAATTGTTGCCTTTTGTTTTGTGCAAAATTGCAAGTGTGGCAAACAAGCGACCATTCAGAGAAGTGCAGAAAGCAACTAAAGGTTTGAAGTGAACATAGAGTCCCTAAAAGCAAGAAAAGGTAGTTAAGAGTAAAGAGGAATTTAAAAAGCAGACATAATATAAAAAATAACCTGCTGAAGAAGAGTGACATGGATCTTTTCTGTGGTGTATCTTGTTAAGAATAAAAGCTCATAATTGAATGCATGTGATTTAATGCCATGAAAAGCTATGCGATAATCTACAGCTATGACACATTTCACTGTTAGTTTAATAAAAATGACTGCTCAATTTATGGATATAATCCATTTTTCAATCTACTTGCAGTCATCATTCAATGCACCGTGTCTCACATGGGACTACAAAGTGCCGTTTTTTAATGAGATAAGGTGCCGCCATTATGATCAAACTTTATTGTCCCTTTCTTATCGAGAATGACATATTGCTCATGTTTAATCCAAATCTATAGAAAAGCAGCGAATTAAATGGCCTCATTCTCAGTTTGTGATATTTCATGACTTGGAACATTTGTTTTATTTTGACAGGGAAGGCAATAAATCTGATAAGTCTGTAAATTTGAGTTGCTCTTTTTGAAGAGGTGTTTTGTTACTTTGGATATGATACTCTTGGGTGTGGGGAATTTATTAGATAGCCATTTGCCCCTATGACCCTCTTCGTTTTAATGGCAAATAAAGCAAAAATGAAGGCACCAAGTTTTCAACAACTTGGTAATGCTGCGTAAAACTGTAATAAAAGAGAAAAGTTTGTTTGTGATGATGCTTTGCAATTCTTGTAAACAATCTCGAGATTGCCAAATAGCCCGCTATTTCTGATTTGGGAAATAATCCCAAAGTTACAAATCGCGTCTTCATCAGCTCGAGATTCGACCTTGAGAAATTAGCTCGAGATATTTTGCTCAGCATTCGCGCATAGTGTGAGTCTTCGGTCCGGTGAAGACGCACAGGACAAATAGCTGGATATTTTGCCAAATAGTGGGATATTTTGCAAACTATCCCAAGATATCTTGGGATGACAATCCCGACCAAATATCCAGCTAATTGCAACTTCGGGCTGATGAAGACGCAAATTAGCTGGATAGTTTGCGATCGGGATAGTTCAAATAGCAGGATATTTGGCAATCTCGAGTTAGTGAAGATAGGCCTTATTAGTGATGGATGCACACCTTAGGTGTATCCAACCGCTGCCACCATGTTGTGTTGGCCAAGCGTTGATTCACTACAAATCCAACTAAACTAGAACAATACAAGACACGGACGACATCATGTTCATGTGTCTAAACCAAAAACTGATGAGTCTTAAACTCTTTTATTACGTCACAATCATTTGTACGCGCTTTAAGTGTAGCTGCTCCAAATGAATATTTATACATATTTTTACAGATTACCCCCCCCCCCCCCCACATAAACCTTTTCCCCTAGCTCCTTCATCCTCCCATCCATGCAAATATCATGTTGATCTCGAGCCCATGTCTTGCTCGGGGAAGTTTTGTTTTGATGAAAGCTACAATGGAGAAGATGAACCATAAAAAGACACTTATCTAACAGGTTAATGGTCCTGCACTCTTTGAAAGGGGGTCAGTCTCGCCCCCATAAATCTTACAGGTATCATTCATAGGGTGCATTCATTCATCCTCTTTCAACCTTGACATGGAGTGTATAATGGGTCCAAACCTCTCATCCTTTTCCTTATGAATAAACATAGCCCTACATGTCTATATAATGATATACGAGCATGCAACATTTAGACCATCTCGTAATAGCATGGAGATACTTAATTCTTCAATTCGATCGTTATTCATCCTCCAATTTAAAAAGCAAAGCATACGTGCAATTATAGTTTCCCTGTTAACCTCAACATCATAATGTTTTTACTTCTTGTTTGCTTTACAAAACAAATTTGGGGTGGGAGGGAGGGGGCACATTGTTACCATAACTCCTTTTACTTCTGAGGCCAACTTGTTGAAAGTTGTTATTTTCCCCGTATCTTCCAGATGTTACTTTTTTAGACAGTGTAAGAAAATGAAAGAACTTGTTATTATTTGATGCATCCATCCATATATGCCTTACCACTTGTGAAATTATCTAGTGTTTGTGGCTTTCTGAAGATTTTCCAAAATATGTTTTTGTTTTCCCCCATCCAATTTCAATTGTTCTCCAGAAAGTAGCCTACTGTCTCAGGGGACAAATGTTGCTCTGTAAATCTGTCGGTCGGTTCCTTTT